TAGAAAATTGTTCATTACGTTAAGTACTGCACGAAAAAAATTTTATATAAACCGAAACTCCGAAATTTTGTGCAGTATCTCACTTTGCGATGATAAATTTTTTTTATTATTGTTTTTTTCGCCTGAATTCTTGACAATTCATGCCCAGGATGTTGAACTTGTCGGAATATTGCTCCCTTACGCTGAAAGATTCGAAATTCGATGAGATGCTGTCAAGCCATACGAGAAGTTAGCATCTCATATTTTTAAAACGCGATTTTATGTGTAAATTAATTGAACTATTGTTAAAACTTATCAGAACTACTAGAACTATGCCGGATGCAAGTAAATTTGAAGACTATTTGTGAGATGCTAACAATTGAGATGCTAGGTTCACACCGGTATAATACCCAAATATGATTGTATTTGGTACTAAAAAATAGGGTGGTGAAATTCAACATCTTCGTCGGGGAAATGCTATCTTTATTGTAACAAATATGAATATACTTGCATTTTAGGAAGGTATTACTATTTCTTGTATTGTATTATATAAGTGGATAAATATGTAAATTGTAATCAGATATCTCTTGCATTTCATCGCTTAGCCAATTACGCCAATTTTGCTGACTTCGCTGACTACTCGCACGATGATTTTCTATTGAATAACTTACATATGACACGTCGTTGTAGACATATAAAAGCCGTATTTTTACACACACACACACACACACACACACACACACACACACACTACGCAATTTATTAAAACATTAAATCATGATTAAATACCATTATATGTTTATTAATCGAATGTTAATGATTGAAAAGTTCCAAAATAACAATTCAACTTCAATTTAATACCGCTGCGAATCAAGTTTATGATTAATTAAAATACATAAATATATTTACATTTTACGTACAACGTACATACGTACAATATATTTTTCAAACACATACAAGATTCGAACAATAAATTATGTGAAGTAAATGTATTATGTAAATGTATAAATAGTCGATATAGTACAATTTTTTTTATTTACTATATTGATATTTATTACTCTGTTTATTACGCTATTTTTTTATTACTTTGCACTCTTGATCGAAAAATGACGAGCAATTAATTATATTTAACTCAGCGATAAACTTATATCATGCAAGATATATTCATGTATTAAAAAAATAATTATAAGAATAAAATAGTGATTTGGAATTAACTTTTCCTGTTTTGATTTTTGCTTCTAACGATTAATTCGCACGAAGTATGTCCTTCGATCAGTAACAGTCAATATAATACTTTTATAAATCATTTATAGCAGAAGTAAATCAATTATACGTAATTGTTAATTGTAATAATCATAGAAGATAATTGCATCTAGCGATACTCCTAGTACTTGTCGCGAACGCCTTTCGAGTGATAATGTGACAACACATGGAATGTTTTGCGCCGCTACCTGTCGATGTTGCGTCCCCACTCCAGCCTGTTGTTTTAGACAATACAAAGTAATCATATATATAACGCGTAAACAGTGCGTTATATATCGCAGTATAAGTGCCATCCAATTGTCGCTGCTAAATATTAGACACACATATTATGTTATAAATATACAAGAGAGAATATATATATTTTTTCTTTAATATTACTTTACTCTTGAGAAATTATATGTCTAATATTTATTTAAAATTTATTATTTTATTTAAAAAAGTATTATTTATGTACAATAAATTAATATTTATTATTATTACTATTTCTCTTTGAAATTTTTACGTGACATATGGAGCATTTCGCGCCGCTATTTATTTTTACAATAAATTAATTTTTATTTTATGTTTAAAAACATATATGTAGAGTAAATTAATATTCATGATTATTATTTTGTTTTTCAAGTTTTTAAGAGGAGTAAAATTGCTTGAGTTTAATAACTAACTGTTTTTAGTGCTTAATTGAAATTTTAAAGATTAATTAAAAGACATAAAGGAGGAAATATTAAAAATATTAATAAAAATATAAAAAATTATTTAATTCGAAGACTCTTGCCTTTTTAAATATATTGAACAATACATTAACTGTTGTAATTTTAACTAATCTTTCGGAAAAATTAATGGGTTGGCACCATCTAATTATGCAACAAAATTATTATGTAACATAACACAATAAATTAAAAATACAATTTAATAATGTAAACGAATGTATCGTAGAAAGCATATGTATGTATTATAAAATTAACGAATGTAAAGAACGGTACACATTATTAATTTTTTGTATAAATTTTTGACTTTTAATTTTGAATAAAAATTTATGTTTATTATAATTATATTGTTTTACATACAGCCATTTTTGTAGATCTTAAGATCAAAGAATTTAAAATTTTTGCTTTAAACTTTAACAAGATTATTCAATGGATAATGACATGCGTTTTAATAATGTAGACATCATTATTTAATCTGATAGTATAATTGCGCGAAAGCAGCCAATGTATCCCGTTTTGTTTTCTATCTATTACCATTCATATTGCACGATCTTATCATGAAATGTGCTTGCGCATTTAAATTTTCTTGTGATCATTCATGTAGATCGCATTCATATCGATTAATATGTATGCGAGCCGTAATCTTCACAACTTCGGCATTGCCGTTAAGTAGGTGCGTAGGAGAGCACCGTTACAATGCGTAAAACGTAAAAGCATCGACGGCCGAGTACGATGGTTTATAAGGTCGCGACCTCGACTATATAAGAATTTATAACTATCTTTTACTACAGGCAAATATATAGAGAGCAATAAAATATTATAATAATTATATATTAACAAATCTAAGAGAAGAAGATTATCTAGAAGATTAATTAATTATCTCTTTTTAATGTTTAATATTTTCAAATTGCCTTGTATATTTTTCTAAAAAAAATGGCTATTCTAAATATTTTTGGGTTCTAAGGTTTTAATTAATATTATAAAATTTGAAAAAATTTCCATGTGAATCTATGAGTGAACGGACTTCTATGTTTTCACTTGGATTTGATGCAAGATCGAATATACAGTATCCGTTTCGTAAGAGTGCTAACTGTAGAAGTACTTTCGATACATTGCATGGGAATGTGACGGGCGCAAAGGGTCAACAGCGTTGAGTATGTCGACAATTTCGAGAGCCACTCGAGTTCTCACGTACCGATTCAACGAGATTTTACACCGCGGGAGATGTTATGTGAACCTCTCGAGATGGTTTCCCCATCTCGCCGAGAGTGTTACTTTAATAAGTTCCCTCCGAGAGATATCTCGCGTTTCGGAAAACAGATGACAATACATACGATGTTCATTCGAGACAATGCAAATTAAATTCTCGCTTTATTGTACATTTCCATTCCACAAAGTGGCTCATTCGTTACGTCTTGCCTTTCGCGAATACAGTTGAAATAGTACATAGATTTTCCAACTCCTTCACTCGAAAACTGCTGACGTTGTACGAGTTATACGTTTTGAAGAATGTTTAAGTCATGACGTCTACGCGCGCTGGTATTGTCGGCGCTGTCGCATATCAGTTGCATGCCGTTCGCGATGATTAATAATTTTTGAATGGGTACAAAGAGTCATGCCGCGTACCGAGAGGCCTTTGTGTGGCGCGGACCACTGCGATTCGCGTACATTTAACGCTCAAGACAAATGTTGCATGACAAAAGCACGGTTACTTCTATTACGTATTGCAGTCATAAATAATGCATGCTGCACGCGATACCGTGCAAATGTCCTTTAGTACGTGCACTTGCTACATTTGCTTTGTCAGTTCATTTTTACAATTTTACATTCCTTTAACTTCGACTTGTTTGTCATCTTTTTTCTCTATTAATCAATTATATAGCTCAATTATAATTCTCTTGTATGACTTTTCAACACATTTGAAAATGAGATATTTTACAAAATAAAATATTTTTATAATTAATTTTTAAATTAAAATTTTATCAAAACAAATGTTACTTAAAATTTTAATAAAAAAATAAAAAGTCTCTTGTTTTATGTTTGTACTACATAACATTGCAATCGATAGCATAAACAGAGATATTTTCCAAAATGAAATATTTTTATAATTAATTTTTAAATTAAAATTCTTTAAAACAAATAATACTTAAAATTTTAATAAAAAAATAAAATCTCTTGTTATATGTTTGTACTATATAACATTGCAATAGCATAAACACAGATATTTTACAAAATGAAATATTTTTACAATTGATTTCTGAATTAAAATTCTTTCAAAGCAACTGTTACTTAAAATTTTAATAAAGAAATTAAGTCTTTTATTATATGTTTGTACTATATAACATTGCAATAGCGTAAACACATGCAACTAATTTGTATAAAATACATTATGAATGCAAATAATTAGAAATGCTAACGATTTATAATAAGATATGTAACTAAGCACTTTAGAAATGCACGAGATAATCATGACAGATAATTTGCAAATATATATTTTTTATTGTTTGATTAAGATACTATCGATGTATCCATTCTCGATGGAGCGATTTTTCTTGTTTAAGATATCGCTGTACTTCGTACCGACAAGTCTCTATCGCGAAGGTCGCCGTAGTTTTTCACGCGATTAACATGCGTAACGTGGTTGTGTGTAAACGCGTGCAGCAAATGTAAGGTTTGCATATACGAATACGAGCGGTTGCTTTATCGCATGACGGGCTCGTGCACAAACCCTTCCTTTTCTTATCTGCGATATTATCTTATAAATTAAAAAAAAATAATTGAACTTCCGTGAATGCGTTTTCTGGTTGTACACTCGAGACACTAAAGATTATATGTAATCGTTTACTAATTTTTTGCAAAATATTTCATTTTTAAAAGAAAAGAAAAATATATAAGAACAATTGAAGGCAAGCAAAAATGTTGCGAAAGATAAATTAGGATTTCACTTTATAAATAACAACCATAAAATGAGAATGTTTTGTTATTTCAAAATTTCTCATAATTCAGGATAAGAGAAGAAATTTACGCTGACAGTTATTTTTCTATTTATTTCAGAATGGCGAAAGAATCTTTATAGGAGCACCGGGCAGTTGGTACTGGCAAGGTAAGAATCTTTGATCAATTTTTATTTGTATAATAACGTCTGTATATATGTATATCTTAAGACGTATGTGAATACTGGCCAAGAATCTTTCTTTTAACATCGATGTATATTTGTATTATTTTTTTCTTTTTTCAATAAAAATTATCTTATCTACGACGTGGTGCGACTGAACGAGAACGGAGGAGCGGATGTTGATTAGCGATTAGAGAGCGTGCGATTAATAGGTTTGATTAATAATTCAGTGGGGAATTTCCTTTAACAAATTACAGGTCAGATATATTCAATCGCCACCGCCATGACAATGTAAATTAAAAAAAAAAAATAATTGAACTTCCGTGAATGCGTTTTCCGGTTGTACACTCGAGACACTAAAGATTATATGTAATCGTTTGCTATTTTTTTGCAAAATATTTCATTTTTAAAAGAAAAGAAAAATATATAAGAACAATTGAAGGCAAGCAAAAATGTTGCGAGAGATAAATTAAGATTTCACTTTATAAATAACAACCATAAAATAAGAATGTTTTGTTATTTCAAAATTTCTCATAATTCAGGATAAGAGAAGAAATTTACGCTGACAGTTATTTTTCTATTTATTTCAGAATGGCGAAAGAATCTTTATAGGAGCACCGGGCAGTTGGTACTGGCAAGGTAAGAATCTTTGATCAATTTTTATTTGTATAATAACGTCTGTATATATGTATATCTTAAGACGTATGTGAATACTGGCCAAGAATCTTTCTTTTAACATCGATGTATATTTGTATTATTTTTTTCTTTTTTCAATAAAAATTATCTTATCTACGACGTGGTGCGACTGAACGAGAACGGAGGAGCGGATGTTGATTAGCGATTAGAGAGCGTGCGATTAATAGGTTTGATTAATAATTCAGTGGGGAATTTCCTTTAACAAATTACAGGTCAGATATATTCAATCGCCACCGCCATGACAATGAAGTTTGTAGCGACGATGTTAGTCACCGAAGCCGAAGCATCAGGTATCGCGTACATTTGCAGGTCCCCCGTAACTAAAATACTATCTTCACCTTCTTGCCCCCACACCCCTGCCCCAAAAATAATAAGCCTACTATTCTCTCGTATTGACGATTTCCTACAAATTAACCACGTGTTTTGTTTGTCGGCTTTTACCGTGAATGCGGAAACTGAAGTGAAAGCCGACGATATTAATTCCCGGTTATAGCAGGAAAGCGTCCTTGGAGACAGAAACGAAATAACACGAGAGAATATTTTCCACCCTCTTTACACTTGCTTGGCAGTAACTCTAATCATTTGTCATTATGCTTAATATGACGCTTGTTATTAATCATGTAATTAAAATCGATGAATAATCACGTTGAAATAATCAGCCGGTTGAAATTTGAAAATAATAAAAAAAATTCCGCTAGCTACCCAATCATTCCCTATTTGTGATTGGGATAATTCAATTTCTCTCTCTTTCTCTGTGTATCTCTTACTATACAAATATTAAAAACTAATTTCTATGCTTTGTTTTTCTGACGAATAAAACTCGGTTGTAATTCCGACAATTAAAATGCGATGCATCCAAACTTTTTTTTTTTTTTTAAATTACTGCCAAATAAGTGGTGGGTGATTTCTAACAGGTGCGGGCCCGCTTCTTACAGCTTCAGCAAGCTGCAGATGCAGCAAGAGCCGCAGTAAAATACGGATATCCAACTAGAAAGCTATAATACCTTTTAATCGGTTGGAGAGTTTGCGCCAACGTTGCTACATAGTGGCAACTGCTTGACATTAATAGCGAAAACAAATGCTAGATTAATGATAGAAAAGCTTGTCATCCCCATAGCATATGTTGTTTTCACAAAACCTTTCACGCAAAATTAAGTATGTATACGTACATATGGTTTCTAAATTAATGATGCGGAGAAAAAAAAATAATGTCTTTTAATCGACTTGTATTTATAGTTTTCTGTTAATTACATTATTCTTCGCACGACGGATTTCGAATCCTTTAATTATGTGATTGTATTTTAATATGGTATAAGATTTTGTGAAAGGATTCGTGCGAGTTATTTCCTGACTGCAGCAAAGAACGAGAACCTTTAAAGGATTTTCGACTATGGCCGCGGTCATGAATACGCCTGCATTCCCATCAAGAAATTTTTGGGATATTTCTCTTATTAATACCATATGGGATCATTTTATAGGACAAGCGTTTTCGCAGCCTTTGAACAGTCGATCGAGAATAATGTTCACTAAAGAGGGTCCCGCGAAAGAGGATGACAGTTACATGGGTTATTCCGTCGCGACAGGGGATTTCATTGGGAATGGCGATAGCGGTACAGCGGTCGGAGTTCCGCGTGGTTCCGATCTCCTGGGCAAGGTGTGTAATAAGATATAAAAATGTAATGATAGAAAAATAATAGAATTGTAAGAATCTTATTTGAATTTTATTTTAATCTTAATTTGAACGATATATTTTAAGGACAATTCAATCAGATGTGCAAGAATGCAAATATTTGCAAAATATAATTTAACATAATTTTTAAATAATAACATAATTCAATTCCCTTTAAAAAGTTAAGAAATGCAAAATATATGCTAATCGATATAATTTTCACAATTCTAAAATTCTAAATTTTAAATTTGCGTTGCAAAAATTAAATGGATAAATATTTAATTTTGCAACAAAGGTAAAATTTAAATGACAGTAATATGTGTGCCTGTGTGTGAGTGTCATTGCGAATGTAGGCTGAGGCAAAATAAATGATCGTAGGTGATACTTTTCACATCAAACATGACGAATCCTCGGAATCTCACTGGCGAACAAATGGGCGCTTATTTCGGTTACGCCGTGGCATCCGGCGATATAGACGGAGATGGGTTGGACGACCTGATAGTCGGTGCACCCATGTACACAGTTCCGGATAATCCGGAAATGACCATCGAGACCGGAAGAATCTACGTTATCTACCAGGGCGACGGCGCGGAGAAGTTCCGCAGATTCGATATAAGGTAGCGAAACTTCACAAGTACTTTAAGAAGGAAAAGCAATTGTATATTACGTTTAACATAGAATGTGTACGGGGAAAAGATTTCCATAAAGCGGCAGAGATTCTTGTACATTTCCGTTACTCCCAAGTTCATTAACGACTCTGACCCAAAGGATTAAATGAGCTCTGCATCGCACGCAAGTTCGTTGAACCGCGACGATAAAGTTTATCGTTATCCAGAGACGGCGAAAGCAACCGCGGACGTTTCGGCTTGTCACTGGCTTCTCTGGGGGACATCGACCGTGACGGTTACGGTGACTTCGTCGTTGGCGCGCCCTATGCTGGTCCCAATGGCCGCGGTGCCGTTTACATTTATCACGGCTCACGGACCGGAGTATTAGAGAAGTATTCCCAGGTGATCCATGCGGAGGATCTAGATAATCCGGTGCAGACCTTTGGATTTTCGGTGGCCGGTGCGCTCGATCTCGATGGCAATATTTATCCAGATTTGGTGGTCGGTGCATACGAGTCGGGAGCAGCAATGTTCTTTAGGTTCTTATCAATTTTTTCTTCATTTAAATCTGATGTTGAAAATGTCTTTATGATGACATTGAGTTTTGAGTAAACTTGACGTTCTTCAGGTCACGACCGGTGATCAAGATGGACTCCTACGTGTCCTTCGACTCTGAATCCAAGTTGATCTCTTTGGACAACAGAAATTGCACGCTTTCTGATGATACTAGAGTCACATGTCTTCCGCTTAGGGCTTGCTTTAAGTATTCAGGAGAGGGTGTTCTTATGAGGCACAATTTCAACATACAATACGTACTCGATGTGAAGAAAACGAAGAATCCGAGGCTGTTCTTCCTGGAATTGGAGGGCAGGAACACGATGAATCATACGATCACGGTCGAACGCGATCGGCAGTTCTGTCGCACAGTTCAGGTAAATATTCGTTTGATTTTAATATACGATATAATATCTCTTTGTAAGAAAGAAAAAGAGATTCGCAACTTTTGCATCGTTCTTAAAGGTCTACGTGACTCCCAATATCCGCGACAAGCTAACATCGTTGGATGCCGAAATGCGTATGAGTCTGGAAGAAGAACGGATTGCAGACAATCGCCGTCGTGATCCAAGAATGCCGCTGAGACCAGTCCTTGGCGCGACAACTTACAACTCAGCGTGAGATCTAATGTCGGTAGATACTTACTAGGCTCTGGCAAGAGGCTGGAACTCGAAGTTATGGTGCAGAATGCGGGCGAGGACGCCTTCGAGGCAACGTACAATTTGCAGCTACCGGCCGGCATCGATTATATCAAGATAGAACGTATCGAGACCCTAGAGATTCCCGTTCACTGTTCTGCGCCCAAGCAATCAAATAACAATACTCTTCGCTGTGATATCGGAAATCCACTGCCGCAGAATAAACTGGTGAAATTCAAGGTGCTACTTCAGCCTGTGACGTCACACGGGATGAAACCCATCTATGAGTTCGATATGCAAGTCAACACTACGAATCCCAAAAACCACATCACCGCCCATGACAACAGTCAGTATTTATCTCTGCCGATCTGGATAGAGACGGACTTGCGTGTCGACGGCGAAAGCAAACCTAAGGATCTCTATTACAATCCCGATAATTACACTGCCGTGAATATCACGACGGAGCTCGAATTTGGGCCAGCGGTGACACATAATTATACGATTCGCAATCAAGGCCCATCAGATATCATCGAGGCCGAAGCATTCCTTGTGTGGCCCGCGCAGACTTTATCTGGGAAAGAACTAATGTACTTGTTGGAACAACCAGTGACTGCGGGACCGATCGCTTGCGAACCTGCTAATGCAAATTATCTCAGTTTAAAGGTACGTATAAGACGGAAATAAACCAAAATTATTTTTTTTACGTTATATGAATTATATCATATAAATTATAGAAATTATGATTATTGCTATTAGTATGTGTTTGCTTTACTATAAGCTATCTAATTATATAAAAAAAATATATATGTATATAATACTTTTATAGCATATATATAATAGAATTAAATATATGCATAAAAATTTATATCTCAAAAAACTATAATTAAGATAATTATGATTAATTATAGTTTTGTTTTATAATTTAATCAATTTTTGAATGTATGTGTGACATGACGATGTAAATCATAATAATGTATCGCAGCTGGATCAACGCAAAAAAGTGCATTTAAATTATCCTGACTATTCCGGCGTGATCCTGGACGAATCGCAATCAGGCAGAACGATCAACGTCCAAAGAGGCTTCGAGGTAGACCGCAACAAAGCGAACCAGAAAGAAGAAACCGAGATCAATAGCGGCGATAGTTCGAATATCCAAAAATCGCGACATTCTTCCTCTTCATCTTCTTCCTCTTCTTCGTCGAACGTAGTCACCGAGACTAGGAGGATCCAACTGAACCCAACGGGAGAGAAACCCGACGTTCTCACTACGACATATACACAGAATTCTTCCGGAACTAGCGCGATTGGTACCGGTGATTTGTCTAGCGATCGTGGAGTTGTTTTCCACACAGAATCCGGTGGAAGTTCCACAACTTTGGGCGGGGGATTCCGAGAATCTGAAAAGGAATCTTTCAGTTCTCGGAGATTACCCGATCTTGAAGAGCCTTACGAGACTCGCATGAATCATTCCGTTAGAGTAGAAAGTCGTTGGGATGAAAATGATAACATACAAAGCGGACGTACGATCTCACCTTCGGGAAGATTTGATTCGGTTTTAACTGAGAGTGAGAGGCGATATCAGGAGCTACTAAAACAGCAGGAGGAAATTCGCTTGCGTCAGGAAGAGGAAACTCGTCAGAGGAAACTGCAGGAGGAAACACGCCTGGTGCAACGTCAGCGGGAAGAGCAGGAACGTATCATTGCTTTGCAACGTCGTCGAGAAGAGGAGGAGCGGCATCGGCAGGAGGAAGAACGTCGAGAAGAAGAGGAACGACGTCGATACGAAGACGAACGGCGAGAAGAAGAAGAACGACAAAGACAGGAAGAAGGACGACGTCTGCAGG